CCCTCAGACCCAGGGTCCAGGCCCAGCCTCCTCCCTCAGACCCAGGGGGGCAGGCCCAGCCTCCTCCCTCAGACCCAGGGTCCAGGCCCAGCCTCCTCCCTCAGACCCAGGAGCTCAGACCCCAGCTCTCTTCTCAGACCCCAGCTCCTCAGTTCCCTCTGTCTTGGGGCCTGTGTTGAATTTAAGGAATGTGAAGGGATTTTATTCACTCAACCCCACAAAGCTCAGCCATTTTCCTTCTCTCTCCTGCATCCACTCCAAATCAACACACATCTAAAATATATTTAAAAAAAAAACTGCTGCACTGAATTGGCCTGGAGGCCTCTGGTCCTCTGCTTCCATGGGCAATCTGTAGGTGGGCTGGTTTGCAAAGATTGGCGATGGTGCTCATGTTAAATTGGTTTTGTTTTTTGGGTTTGTTGTTGTTGTTGTTATTATTGTTACCAGGGGTTGAACTCAAGGGCATTCCACCACTGAGCCACATCCCCATCCCATATTTGTATTTTATTTAGAGACAGGGTCTCACTGAGTTGCTTAGCCCCTTGCCATTGCTGAGGCTGGCTTTGAACTCGCGATCCTCCTGTCTCAGCCTCCCAAACTACTGGGATTACAAGCATGCGCCACTGAGCCCAGCTGAATATTTTTTTAAAGATATTTTTGTTTGTTTGTTTGGTGCTGGGGATCTAACCCAGGGCCTTGTGCATGCAAGGCAAGCACTCTACCAACTGAGCTATATCCCCAACCCCTTAAATATATATTTTTATAGCTTTATTTTATTTAGTTATTTTTTTTAATGTGGTGCTGAGGATCGAACCCAGGGCCTCACACATGCTAGGCAAGTACTCTACTGCTGAGCCACCACCCCAGCTCCTCATTTTGATTTTTTAAAAAATAATAGCATCATTTTTTTAACAGACAGTATAATATAGTAGTCAAAAGCAGCAGCTTCCAAGACCTGGCTTCTTGGATTTAAATCCCAGCTATTTGTGTGTGTGTGTGTGTGTGTGTGTGCAATGCTGGGATGGAACCCAGGGTGTCGTGCGTACACCACGTGGCTGCAGCCCACCCCAGCTGATCACCCTTCCTGCATCACTTCACTGTCCCTCTCCTTCAGCCTTTTTTATGTGTGTGTGGGGGGAGGGGGTCCTGGGGATTGAACTCAGGGGCATTCAAACCACTGAGCCACACCCCCAGCCCTATTTTGTATTTTATTTAGAAACAGGGTCTCACTGAGTTGCTTTTGCCCTTGCTGAGGCTGGCTTTTTAAAAAATTAATTAATTAATTAATTTTACAGTAGAATGCGTTTTGACCCATTGCACACAAATGGAGCACACCTTCTCATTCCTCTGGCTGTCCATGGTGCAGAGCCACCCCAGTAGTGTGATCATACATGTATAGGGGTAATAATGTCTGTCCCACTCTACTGTCCTTCCCTCCCCCACAGTCTCACCCCTCCCCTCACTCCCCTCTGCACAAACCCAAGTTCCTTTATTTTTCCCTAACCCTCTCCCTGAAAGAACGTTCAAGGCTTGCGGTCGGAGAAAATGCCCATTTATTGAGGAATAGCTCTGCATATTTATAGAGCCAGGGGCGGTTTGACAGTTATGACAGTTTAATGGTTGAATGGTTTGACAGTTGGCTGGGGTGCTTTCTGATTGGTGGGTAAGGATCATGTGAGCCAGCAGGGCTAGTCTGATTGGTGGGTAAGGATCATGTGAGCCAGCAAGGCTCACCACTGGACAGCAGGATCATGTGAACCAGCAGGGCTCACCATTGGAAGGCTCTTCTTGGGGGATGGGGAAGTTAGTCTTTGGAGGGGGGGGGGACTCCCAACACTCCCCCACTATGGATCAGCATCCATTTATCAGAGAGAACAATAGGCCTTTGGTTTTGGGGGACTGGCTTATTTCACTTAGCATGAACTTCACCAGTTCCATCCATTTACCTGCAAATGCCATAATTTCTTTAAGGCTGAGTGATATTCCATTGTGTATATGTACCACATTTTCTTTATCCATTCATCTGTTGAAGGGCATCTAGGTTGGTTCCATAGTTCAGCTATTGTGAATTGAGCTGCTATAAACATTGATGTGGCTGCGTCCCTATAGCATGCTGATTTTAAGTCCTTTGGGTATAAACTAAGGAGTGGAGTAGCTGGGTCAAATGGTGGATCCATTCCAAGTTTTCTGAGGTACCTCTATACTGCTTTCCATAGTGGCTGCACCAATTTGTAATTGAGGCTGGCTTTGAACGTTAGATCCTCCTGCTTCAGCTTCCAGAGCTGCTGGGATTACAGGTGAGCACCACTGTGCCTAGTAGCTTCTCCTTCACCCTTGAACTGGGAGAAAGAGTACCTGCCTCACAGGGTTGTGATGAAGACTAAATAAGTTAATATGTAGAAAATTCTGGAACATTGACACCGAATAAGCCTTCAATAGGTGTTAGATTTTATTATTTACGACTCCTGGTATTTTTCCTGCTCATTCTCTTATGAACTTTCTTTATAAAAAAGTAATTTATCAGGGTGGGGCTGTAGCTCAGTGGTAGAGAACCTGCCTCACACCTGTGAGGCGCTGGGTTGGATCTTCAGCACCATATGAAAATAAACAAATAAAGGCATTCTGTCCATTTTTACAACTACAAAAAAAAAAAAAAAGATTTTTAAAGTAATTTATCTGTAAATGCCATGGTTTTATTCTCTTTTATTGCTGAGTAATATTCCAGTGTGTTCATATGGCACATTTTTAAATCCATTCATGCATTGAATGATGAATGTTTTCTTTGATATAAGGATGTTGATTCATAGTGGGATGGGGGAGGGAGCATGGGAGGAATAGACAAACTCTAGATAGGGCAGAGGGGTGGGAGGAGAAGGGAGGGGGCATGGGGTTATTAATGATGATGGAATGTGATGATCATTATTATCCAAAGTGCAGCATGAAGACACGAATTGGTGTGAATATACTGTGTATACAACCAGAGATCCAGAGAGATGAAAAATTATGCTCTATATGTGTAATAAGAATTGTAATGCATTCCACTGTCAAATATAAAATTTTTTTAAAAAGTAATTTATTGAAGACCTAGACCTCTGCAGAGCAAGTCACTTTGGAGACAAATATCCAATGAATAAACAGGATGGCTGGGGGGACAGCAAGACCATGACAGTCACTGTCAAGTGGCTAGAGTTGGAGGCTTGGGTCTCTCTTAGAAGTTCCTCCACTCCCCAAGGCTGACCACCAAGGGGATGCCAAGAGATGGGCCCTGTTCACCACCGTGTTGGAGGTCAAGTTCCAATTCAGACTCCACCTCTTCCTGACTGTTTGACATTGAGCAATGAACTTCCCCTCTCTGAGCCTCAGTTTTCCAATCTGTAAAACAGAAGTGGGCGTAACAAAGTCTTTTAGTCATTAGGCCAACATTTCCTAAGGCTTCCTCTGGGCCAGGTCCTGTGCAGGTACGTGGGACCCAGCAGTGAGTCAGCCCCAGGCCTGTCCCCAAGAGCCTGAAGTCCCGTGGGGGTCAGGGACATTGATTCAGATGGCCCTGGTCCAGGGTGACTGGAAGGAGGCACAGGCTGTGGGAACCACATGAGAGAGTGACTAATGACGGCAGCAGGTGGAGGTGACTGGTGTTCAGGGAAGGAAGAGGTGAGGCCCAGGAAAGGCCGGAAGAACAAGTGGTTGTTGCCTGGAAAATGTGGTGAGAGCCTCTAAGAGGGCCCAGCAGAGTGGAGGCCAAGGTCAGGGGCACGCGCTGCTAGGACCCCTGGGGGGTGGAGCGCAGAGAGGTGGGCAGCGCACGCCAGGCAACATGGGAGGCACAGCTGCCCTCAGCCCCCCGGCCCCCCCGGCCTCCCCATGACCCCCCGCCACCCTCAGCTGCCCCCAGCCACCCTGGCTTTCGATGGCCCTAGGTATGGTGAGTGTCCCTGAAAGGAGCTGACATGTCAAAGATGGCAGAGTCCAAGCAGGGGGTACCCAAAGATCCCTGTGCTGATTTTCTTACTGTAATTTCATGTGCCAATGATAATTTTTATTCTAATTTGTTATCTATGACAGCAGAATGCATTACACTTCATATTACACATATAGAGCACAATTTTTCATGTCTCTGGTTGTACACAAAGTAGAGTCATACCATTCATGTCTTCATACATGTACTTAGGGCAATGATGACCATCTTATTCCACCATTTTTGTCACCCCCATCCCCCTCCCTCCCCCCCCCCTTGCCCTATCTAGAGTTCGTCTAATCCTCCATGCTCCCCATCCCAGCCCCGCTATGAATCAGCCTCCTTATATCAGAGAAAACATTCAGCATTTGGGTTTTGGGGATTGGCTAACTTTACTTAGCATTATCTTCTCCAACTCCATCCATTTACCTGCAAATGCCATGATTTTATTTTTTTTAATTGCTGAGTCCATTGTGTATATATGCCACATTTTCTTTATCCATTCATCTACTAAAGGCATCTAGGTTGGTTCCACAGTTTAACTATTGTGAATTGTGCTGCTATAAACATTGATGTGGCTGTGTCCCTGTAGTATGCTGTTTTTAAGTCCTTTGGGTATAGACCGAGGAGAGGGATAGCTGGGTCAAATGGTGGTTCCATTCCCAGTTTCCCAAGGAGTCTCCATACTGCTTTCCAGATTGGCTGCACCAATTTGCAGTCCCACCAGTAATGTATGAGTGTACCTTTTCCCGCATATCCTCGCCAACACTTATTGTTGTTTGCATTCTTAATAGCTATCATTCTGACTGGAGTGAGATGAAATCTTAGTTTTGATTTGCATTTCTCTAAGATGTTAATTTTTAACACCTTGAGTTAAATGAGTATTAGAATGAATTCCTGTTTCTTTTTACTTTTTTCCTTCTTAAATTTTTAAATGGACAAGTAAAAGTTGGGCATACTTATATTGTAAAACATGAGGTCTTGATAAAAGTCATGTGTACCTTGTGGGAGGGCGAAATCCAGCTATTTGACACACACACACACGGCCTCACATGTTGATTCTTATTGTGTGTGTGTGGTGAGAACACAGAAGATCTTACTTCTTTTTCTTTTTATTTATTTTTTTACTTTTACTATTGGGGGTGCTCAGGATGGAACCCTGGGGCTAGCATGCTAGGCAAGTGCTCTACCCCCAGCTGCACCCCAGCCTTCGTTCCAGTTTTTAAAGAAATGTGACTACTAGAAACCGTAAGCGTTGGGGGGCATTATGTGCGTCTTGATTAATGCTTCTCTGGATGCTGAAGTTTCTCAAATACCAGGTCAAGAACTGAGACTGTCCTATGAGGTGTGGGGAACCACGGCAGGGAGGTGAGAAGCAGGGATCAGAATCAGGGCACAGAGACCCTCTGGGGCCCAGCAGGGGAAGCAGAGACCAGGAGCCCCTGGATGGTGGGGGGTCTGATTTGAGAGGAGCCAGGAACATGGGGCCAGAGGGGAGGTGAGCCCACACAGAGAGGAGACAGGGGGACAGGGTTACAGCTCCAAGGACTGCGGTTAGGTCCCAAGAAGAAGATGCTAAGTGCAGGTGGGACCAGGTGTGAAGGGTCCAGAGAGGATCCTGAATGCCAGTTTGGACCTTGTGTGAAGGTGATAGGAGCTGAGCGATCTAGGGTGACAGTTAGATATAGTGCAAGGAAAAACGAGGTCACCTGAGGGGCCACACCCTCTGTCCTTGACTAGCACCTGCCTCCAGTTTCCAGACCCAAGTTCAAAGGTACCTCCCCAAATTCTCCCAGATCCCTGCGTAGCCTCCTGCTACCCCACTTCTCACCAAACCCTGTGGCTCCTGAGTCATCTGCATCCCTGCTTCCCTCTCCTCTGTGTCCCTCCCTGAGTGCCCTCATCTCACCAGTGAGCCCTCAGCTGCTCCGGGGCCCTGCCAGCTTCCCACCGCTGCAGCCCCGAGACCAACTCCATGGGCACACGCTTCCCAGGAAACCTGCAGGTACCCACAGAAAACAAGCAGGAAGTTACGGCCAAGGCGGGGAGGGGGGGGGATGCAGAGAAAGCAAGAAAGAGGCAAAGGTCAGAGAGACACAAAGCAGAGAGGGAGAAGAGAGACAGACATGGAGACACCTGACCACGGCCGGGGGAGAGATGGAGCCAGAGACCCCAAAGGTGGCCAGACTTAGAGGAGCGGAGCCAGGAGGATCCAGAGAGCTGAAACACCCAGGCAGGACCAGGTGGGCAGTCAAGGACCTGGCCCGACTGCCAATCAGACAGGGACAAAGGAAAGCCATTGACACAGCCTCCCACCCGCCTGCCTGGAAAGAGGTTGAGAAACGGAGCTGCTGGGAGCGTGGCACTGGGTACAGGGCAGACAAAGCCGGATTGTTTGGGGCCCTTTCCCCACAGTGCCTGGGCCTGCTCCCCAGCCCTCGCCAGGGGCCAGGGCCAGCGAGCGGACACACCCTTTCTCACTGCTGGCTGCTCACACTCTCCTGGGACACAGAGGTCGTCAGCACCCACAGAGGGACTTCTGGGCAGGTGAGTCACCCCAACCCCACTGAACCCAGGCAGCTGGTGCAGGGCCTCAGTGCTCCCCACCCAGGAGTGAGGGTTGCAGGTCTCAGAAGTTCACAGACAGGGTGGGGGACTCCTGAGGCCGGGCCTCCATTTGATTATCTGGGAGGCTGGCATTTGGGTCCTCAGTCAGCTTCTCAAAAACTCAGAAGTCTAAAAAGAAGGAGAAAAAACTCCACTTTACCTTGCTCTCCAGACTCCAGCCCTCCTCCCTCAGACCTGAGAGTCCTGATTCCCAGCCCTCCTCCCGCAGACCCAGGGTCCAGGCCCAGCCTCCTCCCTCAGGCCCAGGGTCCAGGCCCAGCCTCCTCCCTCAGACCCGGGGTCCAGGCCCAGCCTCCTCCCTCAGACCCGGGGTCCAGGCCCAGCCTCCTCCCTCAGACCTGGGGCCCAGACCCCCAGTGCACTCTGGGATCAGTACTCCCTTCCTGACAGCTGGGTCAGGGGGTCACCAGGAGCCGAGGTGTGGGGCAGAAGGAATGCTTGTGGGTGGCCTGGGTAAGGAGGAAAAGGGTGGGGTCAGCCTTTAGGCTCCAGGACGTGGGGAGACAGGGGTTAAAAGGAAGTATCAGGGAGCGTCTGGGGACAGACCCAGCCTCTTCCCAGGAGGCCAGGGAGCCAGGCAGGTCCTGTGCACAGCCCCTGCAGCACCCACGTCCCTACCTGCTCCCTGTGTGTCTGATTCGGAGACACCGGTTCTGCTCTGTGAGTCTTCTCTCCCTATTTCTCTGCCAGGGGCTCCCGGACTCTCCGGGCCTGGCCTCTCTGTCTGCGTGAGTGATAAGCTGCTGTCCTTTCCTCCTACCCAAGAAACCTGTGGCTAGGAGAACCCAGGCCACCCGCAGGTAAGAACCTACAGATGTGGGGGTGAGTGACAAGGTCGGCAAAGAACAAAGGTGCAGAGGGGAAGTCCCACAGCTGGGAAGAAGGTCAGGGACCCTCTGGCTGAACTCCTGCCTCCAAGGGGTGATCTAGAGCTTGCAGAGGCAGAAAGCACGACTCAGAATCTTTGAGCCTCGGGCCCAGGAGACGTGGCTGTGGATTCTCTTTGGCACCTGCCTTCATGGGACCCTCAGAGGGAAGGCATGGGTTTGGGGAAAGAAGATCAGGAGGCCAGAGGGAAAGGCTAGGTCACGGTCAGGGGAGCAGAGCAGGCGGAGAGGAAGGAGAGGATGAGGGGGAGGCTGGGGCACTAAGGCACCGCTGGCCTCTCCCCCAGGAATGGACTTGAAGAAGACACTGATGGTGGCGCTCACCCTCGTGGCTGCAGGTGGGAGGAAAGAAACCTAGATGGGGGAGGCTGGTGGTGGAGTCTGCCGTCCATGGGGAAGAAGTCGGCAGGGTGGGATGTGCCAAGGCATGGCGGGGGGGGGGGGGGGGGCCTTCAAAATGAGAAAGAGTTAAGAAGGGGGGGGGGGGGGGAGAAGGGGTGGGGAGGACCGGATCGGGGGTTGGAGGTAGAGTTTAGGGATGAGTTTGGCTTTGAGGATGGGCACAGAGATGGGGAAGGAGTGGGCGGTGGAGAAGGTGAGGAGGAAGATGGACACAGGGCTGGGTTTGGGTGGGGAGTGGCGATGGCCTTGACTGGGGTCACCTTGGTGGGTCTGCCTGGTGGGCATGCCCAGATTCCTCTCTGACCCAGACCCTTTCTCCCTCAGCCTGGGCAGAGGAGCAGAATAAGTTGGTCCATGGTGGACCCTGTGAGAAGACATCTCACCCCTACCAAGCTGCCCTCTACACCTCGGGCCACCTGCTCTGTGGTGGGGTCCTCATTCACCCGCAGTGGGTCCTCACAGCTGCCCACTGCAAAAAACCGTGAGTCTGTGCGCTGCAGAATGAGCTGAAGCAATTAGACCTTCAGGTGTCTCATAGGCTTAGGAGGAGGCAGACCCAAGCCTCCACCTGCCCCTGCACAACCCCCTGCCCCCCACATGACTAAGTTCATCCAGATAGTACTTAAAGGAGTACTGATTATCCTTGGGAATTCTCAGGGGTTGGTTCCAGGATCCCATAAGGACAGCATAACTCTCAGGTGCTCAAGAATGGTATATTGAATATTGAATGACGTGGTATTTGCATATAACCTATGGACATCCTCCTAAATACTTTTTAGATTACTTATAATTCCTGAGACAATGTTTTGTTTTGTTTTAGTGGTGGGGATTGAACCTAGGGACACTTAACCACTGGGCCACATCCCCAGCCCTTTTTATTTTTTATTTTGAGACAGGATCTTGCTTAGGGCCTCCATGAGTTTCTGAGGCTGGCTTTGAACTCAACAATCCCCCTGCCTCAGCCTCCCAAGCCACTGAGATTACAGGCTGAGCCACTGCACCCAGCTAATCCCTAAAACAGTGTCAATGCTATGCAAATAGTGGTTCCACTGTGCTGTTTAGGAAATAATGACAAGAAAGAAAGAGTCTGTACATGATCAGTATAGATAGTTTTCTTCCCCAGTCTAAGGTTGGTCGACTCCGTGGATGTGGCATCCGCAGATCAGAGGACTGACTGTACCAAGCAGTGCCGGGGCAGGAAGCCTGGCAGAATTGCTCCTCTCATGAACTTGCCTTCTAATGGGCCCTGAAGGACATGCTGGGGGGTTGGGGTTTAACTCTTAACTACAGTGGGACTCAATAGAGTGAGGTTTACATTTTGGGGAGCACCTAGCCATGTGAAAGAGGACAGGGCAAGAGGAGATTAAGGGAGCCCCAAGTGGGGGCTGTTGTTGTCGCCTGGGGACATGAGATGGTGACTTGGACCAGGGAGGTAGCATTGAGGATGGAGGGAAATTGGGAGGTATTTTAAGACCAAGGACATGATAGCAAAGGACCAGAGAGAGAGGAGGCAGGGCTGATCTCCAGGTGCTTGCCCTGAACAACTGGGAGTCCTGTCATACGGGGAGGGGACATCAGACATTTCCTTACAGCTGAGGTGAGTTTGAGCTACCTGAAGGTGTTTAAGCAGAGACACTAGGTGGGCCCTTGAAACTCAGGGGAGCACTCAGAGGAGTAGGTAAAATTAAGGCTCCATCCACAAACACATCGTATTTAAAGACATGGGACTGGACAGGATCATCCAAAGAGCAGTTCTAGACAGGGAAGCACAGAGGGCCCGGGGCTCAGCCCAGGACCTCAGGATCACCAGTTAGATTCCAGATGCTGTCGCGTTCAGTGCTAAATGCAGACCAGGGTTAAATCACACAGTGAAGAACACAGTTTACACCCATGTCCTGGAATCCCTGCAGTAGTAGATGAGGAAACTGAGCTCAGATGAGTAGTAAATGACAATTCGGGTATTTGGAAACCAATTGTCAGGACTCCCTGTATGGGGGATGCAGAATCATGCAGAGTCAGGAACTCCAAGGCCCCCAGGGAGACCCGGGGTCACCCCCAACATCACCATCCACTCATTTGGTGCACAGTGACTAAGAATACCACAAAGTGCCAGATTTGAGTTGGTGGTAGAGCTTCAGCCAGGGACACATCAGGGCAGAAAGAAGTAGCAAGTCAGATCTTTAAGAAACACATCTTCAAAATCCAAGATAATTACCGTAAGGCTAAAGAAGGAAAAAACAGGGCTCCTACTTTTGATGGGAGAAATCAGGAAAGACTTTCCATAAGATGTGATTCAAGCTGAGGCATAAAATAGGAGAACTGGTAGCCAAAGGAAGAAGGGGAAAGAGCGTTGGAGGTCCAGGAAATGCCAAAATGAGGCCCCTGAAGATCCAACAATCTTGGATCTTCTAAGAGTGACTAGTTCACTGGAGGGCAGGAGGTGGTGGGAGAGAAGGGCGGGAGGTGAGCAGGCGGATCCCAGGGGGTCTCCAAGGCCAGGCTGAGCAGCTTGGACTTTTTTCTGAGGGCAGTGGGAGACTTTTGAGCAAGGGAGGAATTCTTTGATTTGTTTCAAAAATATCTATCAAACACGTATCACGTACCAGATGCTGGTTGAAGCCCTGGGGATCCTGTATCTGAACAGAATAAAGTCTCTGGGCTGACCTCCTAGGGCCTCACCAGCTAACAAACACCACGGCCAGCAGCCCCCAGGGGCTAACTAAATAAAAATGAATGGGAAAAAAGGCACATTTTGAGCTCTCGATATCCACATGCGGCTGGTGGCCACTGTGCTGGACAGCGTAGGTGGAGAACATGACATCATGGCAGCAAGCTGTATTGAACGGCAGTGCTACAGGAGGAGGAGACGCAGTAGAGAATATTTAGCAATAAATGCACAGTGGGCGGGTGACAGCGACAGGTTCTCTGGTGAAAAGGAAAGCAGGGCTGGATATTTGCATTTTCACTGGGCAGAGGGAAAGCTTTACTGAGAAGGTGACACTTGAAGGAGCTGAGGGAGAGAGCCAGGCAGATACCCGTCTTGCTGGCACAAGAAGCAGCTCTTGCAAAGGCCCTGGGGTGGGAGGAACCCTGTTGTGTTCAGGGGAAGCCAGTGTGGATGGAAGAGGAGGAGGGGGAGAGAAGGAGGAGATGCTGTCTGTACCATGGAGAGAACTTTAGCCTTCACTCTGATTGAGCGGGGAGTTGCAGGAGGGGTGTGAGCACAAGAGGACTGACTTTCCTTGTTAGAACCCTCTGGCTGCTTTGTGGAGGGTGGACTGTAGAGAGACAAAGGCAGTAAGCAGGCCACTGCGGTAGTCCAGGTAAGAGACGACAGCTCAAACCAAGATGGTAGCAATGGTGGAGGTGAGTGGCTGGATATAACTCACACAGCCAAATGGGCCTCCGGACAGCTTGGATGTGGGGCAGGAAATAGACAGTCACGGATAGCCCCCAGGGTATTCTGGAAGGCTGTGGGAGGAGCAGAGCAGGTGAGTCATGATTCCCCAGCTTCAGACGCAGCCCATGGGCCCCGGTAAGACCCAGCCTGCTTCCCTTGCAGAAAGCTTCAAGTCTACCTGGGGAAGCACAACCTCCGGCAAAGGGAGAACTCACAGGAGCAGAGCCCTGTCGTCCGGGCTGTGGCCCACCCTGGCTACAACGCTGCCACCCATGACCAGGACATCATGCTGCTGCGTCTGGAATACCCAGTCAAACTCTCTGAATGGATCCAGCCCCTGCCGCTGGAGAAGAACTGCTTGGCCAACCACACCAGCTGCCACATCCTGGGCTGGGGCAAGACCGCAGATGGTTAGTGAGGGGAGGTGACAGGGGAACAGGCCAATGGCGATGGGGGAGGTGAGCAAAGGGTGAATGGTCAAAAATGAAGGTGGGTCAGAAGATGAAGGGCCATGGGAAGATGGGTTAATGGTGAGGTCTGCTGGGCGCACCACCTTGAGAGGGATCCTTAGGAGCTGGGCAGGTGGGTGAACAGCCAATGGGGAAAGTAGACCAGTGGATGAACAGCATGGAAAAGATGGGCCGGAAAAGGAAGGGTCAGTGACAAGGGTTGACCAGTAGGAATATTCTAATCAGGAAGGTGGCCAACGGTCCCCAAGATGCACTTATGGGCAAGAATGGGTAAGTGGAGGAGGAACTAATAGAAGAAGAGGGATCGATCAACAGAGGAGTCTGTTATGTGAATTCCAAATGCAAACAGAGTAGAGACAGCTGGTGGGAAAGGGGTCAAATGGGAAAAGGCCAGTGGTTGAGAGGAGTCATTAGAAGAAGGATCAGAGGAAGCACAGGTTCAATGGATCAGTGGGAACCACGGAGGAGGGTCTGGGAGTGAAACACCAATGAACAAGGCGGATTCCCTGATGAAGAGCCAATAGGAATTGAGAGGCAATGGAGAAGGGTGGGGTCAAAAGGAAAGGACCAATGAGGGCTGTGGACCAGGGGATGAAGAGCCAATGGGGAAGGGCAGGACCAACGGTCAGGTGGCGACTAATCGGATGAACAAATAGGCAAGAAGGGCTGATGAAGGACAGGTGAATGCTCAGGAGGGAGATGAGAGAGGAAGAAAGTCCTAGAGTCCAACCAACTGGAACTGCTGAGGGGGGGATGGAAGGAAGGGAGACAAGTGGAGGAGAGAAAAGGGAAAGCCTGTAGGGAAAGAGATGTGGGCAGAGATGGCACCTGGGACGGTGGGCCAATGGCAGGTGAGGATGATGGGGAAAGCGACCAATCAGGAGGCGGGGACGATGGAACTGGTTCTAAGCCAGAGAGGCACACAGGAGAGGGAAACAATGGGAAATGCGACCAACAGGTGGCCTTACTGTGGAGGGATGCTGGGGAGGACGGGGAGGGGCGTCCAGCAAGCCCGCCCTCTCTCGTGGCAGGCGACTTCCCCGACACCATCCAGTGTGCATACATCCACCTGGTGCCGCCCGAGGAGTGCGAGCGGGCCTATCCTGGCCAGATCACCCCCAACATGGTGTGCGCAGGCGACGAGAAGTACGGGAAGGATTCCTGCCAGGTGAGGCCACCGCGACCTGCCAGTTCCACAGCCGAGGACGGAGACACAAACACACAGCCAGAGACAAGAAGAGAGACCAAAACAGAACTGTAGGGAGCCTGAGAGATGGGCTGGGAGGGAGCTGGGACAGGCAGCCATTAAGATAGTCGTCAGAAGCAGGAAATGCAGAGAGAAGGACGGAGAAGGAGGGATCCAGACCAGAGAAGACACACGAAGGAGGCAGGTGGTGCACGGAGCCGCTCTGCCTCACACAGGGCGCCCATCGGGAGCTCTGCTTGGAAATGACCATGCTCTGGAGCCGGGTGACCCCGCGGGCGTCTCCGTCTTTCTCTCTCCCTGAGTCATCCATTCCATCTCTGAGTACCTCTAACTCTGCTCCATGTGAGCCTTGTCTGTCCGTCCCCCCCTTCCAGGTTGCTGCACCTGACTTTCTCCCTCTTTCCCACAGGGTGATTCTGGGGGTCCGCTGGTATGTGGAAACCGCCTGCGAGGCCTTGTGTCATGGGGTAACGTCCCATGTGGATCAAAGGAGAAGCCAGGAGTCTACACCGACGTCTGCAGATATACCCACTGGATCCGGAAAACCATTCAAGCCAAATGACCCTGACATGTGATATCCCCGACTCTTGACCTATGACCCTACTGGCTGGCTCCAGAATTTCTCTTCCCCTGACCTTGCCTTCCTTCTGCACCTGCCTGGTTGTGACCCTTGACGCTTCATAAAGCAATGATGCAAGAGCACAAATCCTCCCTGATTTGACCCCAGCTCCTCCCTTGCTCCACTGGGGTGGGAGAGCAAGGACAGGGCTGCAGTCTTCCCCCACTACTAAGAGAACCCAGACCCCTCTAGGCCACTCTCCCTGCCTGGGCTTGTCCTTCCTGCAGACAGAATGCTGGTCCAATACTGGCAGATACTGAGTTGGAGGGCCAGTTTGCTATCCTCGGGCAGTACCTTCCTTTACAGAGTACATTAAACAGTATATTCCTCATGGGATGGGGCTACTGGGACGATGTGAGGTTACAAGCACGTGAAATACATATAACAGTGCCTGGCCCGGCATGCGCCCAATAAAGGATGAATTTTATTACTAAGGTGCTTTTCGCTTTTATTCCACGTCTGCCTCTTGGAAGCCCAGATTTTCTCATTTTTCCTTTACACTCCAATTTCATTTCAGCCCCTCCAGGAAGCTACCCTTGACTCATCCACCTTGCATTAGCCCTCAGGGATGGCTCTGTCTCTCCTAAGCTCCCCCTTGTAGCAGCAAAAGAGGGATGAGAGAGGGTTAGGAGACCACTGTGTGTGAGTGGGAGTGGTGGAGGGTAACATGGGAGAGGATGGCAGAGGCCAGATCTCAAAGGACCTCAGACACCAGCTTGAGAAGCTGGGACTTTCCCTAAGGGTAATGGGGAGCCATAGAAGTGTTATGAGCAAGAGCAGCACTGGGGCCATATGCAGGATGGATCTGAGGGGAGAGACTGGAGCCAGGGGGCAGGGAGGAGTTGGGATAATGGTGCAGGGAGAGAGGATGAGGCTGAGCTGGGGCTGGGACTGGCAGGGCTGGAGAACGGAGACTGGATGTGAGTTTGCCACAAGTAGAAGGTAGGGTGCATGGGGGCTTCATAAGAGAACTGCAGACAAGCACGTGGCGGAGAGAGACCTGAGGACCACCCTACATGGTGGAGGCTGGGGCTTGAGGTGGAAGTGGGTGACATGGCGGGAGATGAAGGTCAGTGGAAGAGGATGCCGTTGAGTGTCAGCAGAAGAACTTGGACTTGATGCTGAGGGCTCAGAGGAGAAAGACAAGGGCAGACCTGGGTCTTAGAAAGACTTTAAGATCTTTGCCTTAAGACTCAAAGAACCAGTCAGGCATAGTGGCACACACACACACCTATAATCCCAGCTACTCGGGTGACAGAGGCAGGAAAATCACAAGTTCAAGGCCTGCCTGGGCAACTTAGCAGGGTCTCAGGATAAAATAAAAAGGGCCGGGGGTGTGGCTCCGTGGTAGAGTGCTTGCCTATCATGCATGAGACCCTGGGTCCCATCCCCACCACTACACATGCGTGCACACGCACACACACACACACACACGCACACGCATGAACCAAAGAACCATGACATTTCATCCAGGGGCCAAATGAAAGTGCTAACTCCAGTGAGCAGATGGAACAGGAAGCCCTGGGCATGGCCCCAGCCACCTCCACCCACCCCTGACGCCCACTAAGAGTTATGAATAGTAACTCCCAGGGTCACCAGGAGAAACCCACTCGATGACTGCCCAGAACACAGTTGTCACACCAGCAATGGGCTGGGTGTGTGGGCTATGCACCTTTGAGCACAGGAGGGGACTGACTGACTGACACTGCTGCTCTGACTGGGCTCTGCGACCTATGTGTCCTTCTTGCTCGCTCTGCCTATGATCCCCACACAGCCCCTGAGATGCATGTGAATTTCCAAGCTGTCAATCACAAGACATCACCAAGCAACCCCCTGAAACCCAGTCCCTTGCCTTATTTGGGTTGAACTTTCTCAAATGCCTTCCCCTCAATAAATAGGATGGTGTCAGGCATGGTCTCTCTTTTCGCCTGCCTCTCTTGCCTCCTTTGTGGAAGCTGAGGTCGAGGAGCCGTCACAATACCAAAAAAGGTATTTCTGTCTCTGTGTGGTTATTTAGTAGCCAGCCCAATTCACCTGGAGTGACCTGATTCAGCCGAGTGTCGTGGCACAAAGTCAACCTCAGTTAATGGAGAGGGAAGCTTCTTCCTTAATGGATAATGAGAATACCGACCATCTCCCACAATAAGAAGCCGTGCCAGACACTGTTCTAAGGTACCGTTATTGCCGGGTTTCGGTTCGCAACTAAAAGGCTCAGGGGTCACTCCAGTTAAACTGGGCTAACTGGGCTGCACGAAATAACCACACAAGAGACACAAATACCTTTTTCTCTGGGGTCGCTGTGACGGCTTCTCTGACCTTAAGGGTCCACAGAAAGAGAGAGAGCGAGAGCACGCGCTGACCCCTTTTATGGAGGAGAAGCTATTCAAATGAGGCAAGGGGTCAGGTTTCAGGGGCTGAGTCTATCTTCATGATGTCCACTGTCAGCAGGTTGACTGACACCTGGGTAGGCCACACCCAAGGGCACAGTAAGAGGAGGGGACACACACAAGGCACTTCCATGGAAGATTCTATCCTAAACAGGGCAAGGGGTTCTATTACAAAGGAACAGGTGAGCGGTCGCTTCACCCCTGGGGCTGTAGCGAGACACACCCATGCAGGAGACACCGACCCTCGCACCCAAGAAGGGTGGGGAAAGCTCTGCCACATCTCTGTGACTGAGTGCCTCAGCACCCAGTCGGGGAGTGTGACCCAGTCACGTGCAAGGTTGGTCTCCCACACGTTATCATTCCCATTTACAGTTGGGGAAACCAAGGCACAGAGAGGGTCCGTGGTGCAGCCAAAGTTTCACAACTGGTGGTGGCCAGGCCAGCATTTAGATGCCAAGGGACTGTTGCCATGGGGTGGGCTCCTAACTGCTCTTCTACACTTGAGTTTTCTTTTAATGCTGGTATGTGTTAGAATCAAGTGGAGAAGCCTTTAAAGCCCACCCCTTTGCATGAATTATTTTGAAGCAGAACCTCTTGCATTTGGCATTTAAGATACTTTTCTTTTTGTCTAAGAGAGTTTTTCTTTCTATAGGAATAGCCTTACGACTTCAGCTTAAAATGTGTAATTCACTGATTTGTGATTTTTAAGTTGTCAATTTACATCCAATATTGGGATATTTGGAAGGATGCACTGTTGATTGTATTTATAAATGCAATACAATTAGATGCACAAACTTACTGAAATGCTTGATATTGGGTCTAAAAATTAAGGACTTTTGGAAGACATCGAATGTGTAGGTTTTAGAAATGTGGTTTAAGATGTTTAAAGGCTTTTAATTAGTTTATAAATAGGAACAAACAGTATTGTAAAGACTCCATAAAAGTGACTGTTAAGATAAATATAGAATTAAAAGTTTTGCAAACTGAACTTAAAAGACCACAGAAGTGGGGCGGAAACACCCAGAGAAGTGGGTCGCTCGTTGTGCATGAAATATCAATGCCCATAACAAAATAAACCTCAGCATAGGTGTTCGTAGCTTCAGATTTTTTTCCCCCGTGCACTACTTCCAGCCTCGGGGCTCTAAAACCTCTCATGTGACAGGTGCTGGGTTGCAGAAGCCAGGTACCCGCCCTCGGAGGTGAGAGCCCAGGGAGGACTGCATATCTCAGGTCATTTTGCTCAGGACAGATCTGAGTCTGGCACATGGCAGATGACAGTTTTGACTCTTACCTCCTAGTGCAGGCAGGAGTCTGTATATGGAGTTGGGGGCAGACATAAAGAGGTCAGGAGGGGTAGCGCCACATGCCAGGACTGGGCAGGGAGAAACCGCGGTTCAGGCTCCCCACCCAGTGCCCCATTTCCTGAAGGGCCAAGAGCCACCCGCCCCCTATCCTGGCTCTTGGCCTCTTTTCCAATCCATAGGCAGCCTTGCTCAACTCTGTCACCATCCGGGCCAAGGCACCTGCTGGGTGCCCCAGGCTGAGTCCCTGTCTTTTTCTGCCCCATGTCCTGGGCCCCAGGGAGAGGGGCAGAACGAGGGGCTGAGGGGTTCCTCTGCTCAGTGGCCTGGGTCTCCCCTGACCAAAACCCAGAATGAGGGAGACAGACACATGAAGATGCAGAGAGACCAACACCCCACCAGTGACACAGAGAGAAGAAAGGAGACAGACACAGATTGAGAAGAATCAGTCCCAGAGAAAAGAGGTATAAGATGGAGAAGGAAAGATACAAATCGAGACACAGGTGCAGGCTACAGAAAGGGCCTGAGGAGCAGCGGGTGATGGATCCTTCATCATCTTGACTATAGTCACGTTTCGTGCGTGTGGATGTAAAATCTCATCCAATTGCACACTTCAAATATGCATGGTTGCCTGCTTTTCAGTTATGCTGCCAAAGAGCTGGAATGTTACAAAACAGAAGGAAATCGAGGAAAATAAAGGTTTGAGGATTCTAAGGTAGATTTGAAAGCAGAGCATTCAGACCATTGCAAAAGACAGAATCACAGAGAACAGCAAGACACAGGGACACGGAATGACAGGGACACTGAGACACAAGAGATCCTAAGAGGGGTGTGGCGGTTGGGGGGAGAGAGACTGACTCGGCGGGAGACCAAATATCTGGAGGCAAAACTTCAGAGGCGGGAGAGCGAAGAGTCTGGAGAAAGGACGGGAAGAGAAGCGCGGGTCCGGGGTGCGGGGCCGCTGAGCGCGTGAAAAACTCAGAGAAGAAAGGAAGAAAGCCTCCAGCCAAGCAGGGCGACCGGAGCCCAGGGCAGCCGCGGCGGGGGAGCGGCCCGCGACCTCCGAGACCCTCCCCATCCCGGGGCCAGGGCGGAGGGCGTGGCCTCGGGATGGGTGTGGGGGGCTCCGGAGGCGGAGGTGAGGGGAGGCAGGAGGAGCGGCGGCCGGGCAGATCGGCTGGCGCCTCACTACCGGGGAATGCGCCCCAGGGACCAGTGGGTGGTTATAACCCAGCACTGCGCCCGAGCCCGGGAGCAGGAGGAGGCGGCAGGAGGCAGCGCGGCCGAGACGTCTGCGGCTGAGCTGGGAGCAGGTCCCCCACCCACTGCCCGGGGACGCGGGGACGCGGGGAAGTGCGGCAGGTGAGGCCTGGAGGGTGCTCAGCAGGCAGGGACGGAGAAGCGACCCCGCGTGTGGCTCTGATCTTGAAGGCACCCTCTTTCTCTCTGTCCTCCCTCCTCACGGAAACGTCCTCTGCCCTGAACTCTAGTTCCCTGGGTCTCATCTTGGCTCAGATGGTGGGGCAATGTCCTCCTGGTCCCTCACTGCCCAGAAATAGGGAGGGAACGTGGGTTAAGGGCTCCCAGAGTCACGGGGCCTCCCCATCCTCTGGCCCCCTCAGGTGCAGAGGCCATGGCTACAGCAGGACCCCCCTGGATGTGGACTCTGGGTACCCTGATCTCAGCCCTGATTCTAAGTATCACAGGTAAACAGGACCCCCATGTGTGTGCATGGGACTCTGGGTGGCTGTGTGACACCGGGGAGCTTGTCCCCTGGGGACTGTGTGAGACCATCTGTGGCTCCAGGACTGGGCGAGTGTGAGTCTGTATCTGTATTTGTGGCTGCGCACTGCATGGGGCACACACCCAGGTGCCTGTGCATGGTGACTTATTGCATATCAGGTGACTGCCAGCCACACTTGACCTTTGAGGCTGTGTGTGTGTGTGTGTGTGCGTGTGCGTGCACGCGTGTGTACACTTAAGTCTGTGGTTGGCTCCACTACTGTGGGTGAATATATGTGCTGAATGCTACTGCATGTTCAGCCATGTATGGCTACTTGGCTTTGTATGACCGCAGGGTCCTAGGGTTCTTGTTACCGTGAACTTTCCCTCCGTGTTGTGAGATTGCATACCATCAAAATGGCAGTCACCAACAATGAGTGACCATATGCTTAAGGTAGCCATTTGTGTGGTTGTGTCTGGGTACTTGCATTTGTGACCTCGTGCTGGCTGCAGCCCACGGGGGTGACTGTGTGTTTGTGTGAGGCTATGCATATACTGCTGCTGTATTTGTGATGGTGCAGCTGTGTGTGTGTATGTAGGGGGGTGCAGAAGCCACTGTCAATGTGCAAAGGTGACTGCGGGAAGGTGAATGTAGGTAAGTGACTTGGACATGCAAACATCCACTGAGTACAATCTTGTCACCATGTCAGCGTGCCTGTGCATGAAGTGTGTGTGGGAGTGTCCAATCCAACCACAGTGGCAACTATGCATGCCACTGACAGGTTAGGTGGCTGCTAGTCTGCCCCCGTGTGTGTGCATGGGGACAGTGTGCCACCTGACAACTGTACATCAGCAGTGCCTGAGGAGACCATGGTATCTCTCTGTGCAGTTACGCGCGTGCACAACTGTGACAATGGCTGTGTGCGTGTTTCTTGGAGTATGCTTGTGAATGCAGGCAATGCCGAGGCCTCCCTTCTCCCGTGACACAGTGACACAGCGGGTGGCAGTGTTGTCCGTGGGTCTGTGAGTGGTGGGAGAGAACTGTAGGAGGATTCAGAAGGCACAATTTTGTCTGAGAATTCAGAAAGCCGGCCCTCTGCCTATAATCCCTGCAACTTTGGGAGGCTAAGGCAGGAGGATCACAAGTTCAAAGTTAGCCTCTGCAATTTAGTAAGGCCTTAAGCAACTTAGAGAGACCCTGCCTTAAAATAAAATAAAAATAAAAAGGGTTGGGGATGTAGTTCAGTGGTAAATTTCCCCTAGGTTAAATCCCCTGTACCAAAAAGAGTAAAAGAAAAAGAAAGCCAGCCCTCTCTACCCCAACACTTGTGGCCCTTTTCCTGTCCTGCTCTAGCTCCGCCCACTTCTTCCGACTCCACCCCTTTTTCTCAAGGCCGTGCTACCTAGTCAGAGCCCAGCGGGCTGGGACCCCCTGCCAGGCTCCGCCTCTATGGCCCACCCCTTTCAGCCTGGTTCCACCCCCTGGGTTGTAGGCAGCCTCTAGAGCCCGGCCGGAGCTGGGCCCAACACGTGACACAACACAGTAATCCCAGCGGCTCAGGAGGCAGAGGCAGGAGGCTTGCAAGTTCAAACCCGCCTCACCAACATAGCGAGGCCCTAGGTAATTTAGTGAGATCCTGTCTCAAAATAAAAAATAAAAAGGGCTGGGGATGTGGCTCAGTGGTTCAGTGCTCCTGGGTTCAATCCTGGGTACAAAAAAAAAAAACAGAGCCCAGGCCCCACATCTTCTTCCAAAGTCAGGGCTTTTATTAGGGTCCATTATCCCATATTACCCTGACCTTGTCTCTGCCTAAGTCGGTACCTCTCTCATCTCAGACTCTACTGCCTCCAGCTGTGACCCCAGATGCTAAAGCCTGACCCACTTCTTGAGATCAGGTCCCCTCCCAATAGCCCAGGTCTCGGCCCCTACAGTCCAGATTTTGCCCTTGAGGTTGTCCAGGGCTCCTGAACCCAATTTTACCCTCCTCTGATCTCACCCACTGAGCTCTAGCCAATCCTCAGAATCTCTGAGGTCCAGAGTTGGGCAAGTCCAGGACCCAAGCCCCAGCTCTGTCCCTGTGTCTGAGCCACTTAGGTCCATTTCTGTGGCCCTGCCCCTGCCCCTAAAGCCCCTGCCCCTAAAGCCCCTGCCCCTCAACATAATCTCTGAGGTCAGACATCCCCTGGCCGTCCAGCCTCTGGAGTCGAAGCCCCATCTTCTGCATCTAAGCTCCAGCCCACGCCCACGCCCCACGCCTGAGCCCGGCTTCCCCCCATCTTCTGCCCACAGAGCCTATTCTTGCAAATAATGTTTCCTGTGACAACCCCCCCACTGCCGAGTCCTCTGGGAGCAACCAGTTCCTCGCAGCTGAGGACGGGGAGGACTCCCGGTCGGGTGACATCAGCAGCCGCATAGTGAATGGGTCAGACTGCGAGAAGGACACTCAGCCGTGGCAGGGCGCGCTGCTGCTGGGGCCCAACAAGCTCTACTGCGGGGCCGTGCTGGTGAACCCGCAGTGGCTGCTCACCGCTGCCCACTGCAGGAAGCCGTGAGTGGGGCTGGACGGGAGGAAGGGCAGGGAGGTGAGGGGAAGGGAGCGGGTCAGGGAGCAGGTGGAGGCAGAGTTGGGGACAGGATAAAAGAGAGCTGGGGAGAACAGGGTGGGGTGTGTGTTGCAGATGTGTTGGATTTGGAGCTAGGGGTGTGTGTGTAATGGTTTGGGATAGAGAGGGGGATTAGGATTGGCTTTTAAATTGGGGCGGGGTTGGGGTTGAGAATGAAGATGAAGCTGGGCTGGGAGCAACGGCGGGGTTGGGATTGGAAATAGAAGTGGCTTGAAGATGGGATGGGATTAGAGTTGGAAAAGGGATTGCAGATGACTGGATTTGGAGTTGGGTGGTTGGGTTTGGGTTTGGGAATGCAAGTGTGGATGAATTGGGGATGGGTAAAGGATTAGGGCTGGGGTTACAGCTGGGTTGGGGGTTGGAGATGGATCCCCTTTAGGATTGGCTAATACACTGATGGTCTGGGAGGGAGATGGAATTAAAGTCAGCTCTGGAACTGGGGGTCAGGTAGGTATTGGGATGCAGTGGGAATGAGATGGCTCTGAGGTGGGTGTGGATGTGGAATAGGGGTAGCCTTGAGGGTGCAGTTGGGATTAGAGTACAGGGTTGGGGACACTGGATTTGGGGTTGGGAATGCACACTAATGGCTTCTGGGTGGGGAAAGGCTCAGGACTGGGGCTGGGACAGGAATAGGTCTGGAGCTGTGGGCGGGAGGTGGGCCTGCGGTTGGAGACAGATGGAGCTGGGCATCGGGTTGGTGCTGGGGTTGAGGATGCGGTGGAGCAGGGTTAGGAATGGTTTGGGGTTAGGACTGGCATTGGACGTGGGGTATGGATCGCGGCTGGTGATGACCTGCACCGTCCTGCTCAGAGTCTTCAGAGTTCGTCTCGGCCACCACTCCATGTCCCCTGTCTATGAATCTGGGCAGCAGATGTTCCAGGGAATCAAGTCCATCCCCCACCCTGGCTACTCCCACCCTGGCCACTCCAACGATCTTATGCTCATCAAACTAAACCGAAAGATCCGTAGCACGAATGCAGTCAAGCCCATCAAAATAGCCTCCACCTGCCCGTCGGCCGGCACCAGGTGCATGGTGTCTGGCTGGGGAACCACCAGCAACAAACAACGTGAGTGTGGCTTCCTCCTGACCCCTGCCCGTCTCCCCCCTCAGTGTCTTTCTCTGCCTCTCACTGCCTTCCTGTTTGACAGATGACTTCCCCAAGGTCCTCCAGTGCCTGAACATCACCGTGCTCAGTGACGAGAGGTGCAAGAAGGCCTACCCGAGACAGATAGACGAAACCATGTTCTGTGCCGGCGACGAGGCGGGCAGAGACTCCTGCCAGGTGAGGACCAGAGGCTTCTCCCTGTATTCGCAGATACACAGAGTGCCATTTAGGCCACCAGGTACCTGCTAAGTGGGAGTCCAGGGTGACCCAGACAGTTAAAGCCCTGTTCTCACCGAGCTCCCACCTGGAGCCATGCCGTCCTGTAGAAATACAGCAGCAGCCACACGCATCATTTCAGAGTTCCCAGTAGCCACATTTTTAAAAGTAAAAAAGAAACAGGTGAAATTAACATCAATAGCATATTTTACTTAATATATCCCAAATAATAACATCACTTCCAAATGTAACTCATCTAAGACAATCATGAACGAGGTAGTTTACCTCCTGCTTTTCCCTTTCTCGTTATGTCTTTGAAGGCCAAGGTGTATTTTACGGAGCACAACTCAGTTCGGTAGGCGTGTTTTGGGGGCTCAATAGCCATGCAGGGTTGCACAGGTCTAGGAGGAGAGATGGAGGCTGCTGAGGTTGGCAGGTTGGGCACTGCATAAAGATGCCACACCAAGGACAGGGGGCTGTCCTTCACATAGTAGTCATCAAAGTTCTATTGGGGCAATTTTCAGGCATGGGGCCGGTTAATGTCTTGTTCCAACAATATCTATAAAATGACAGTTTTCCAAAAAACGTGAGGAGAAACTGAGTGACTCCAAGAAGCCAGATTCACAAAGGTGAAGGGGACAGAAGAGGCATGTGCAAACGTCCTCGGGCAGGGAGGGGTTTGGCTGATTCACAGAAGGAAAGAGACCAGTGTTCCCAGGGAAGGAGGGCGGGGGTCGCAGGAAGGGAGGCTGGAGAGGTGGTCAGGGGCAACCTTCATCAAATATCTCTCCATGGCTAACCCAAAGCTCCCTGTGTTCTCTTCAAAGCTTTGTCGTTAAGACAGACAGAAATCAGAATCCCACTGGTAACGCAGGCTCCTCCGTAGAGCAGGCTTCCAAAGCTCCTGCAGCCCTGGGAGGACGTTTGTTTCCTTGGTGCTTTGGTGGTCAGTGAGCTGTGGACCCAGGCAGCCCTACGGCCCCTCCCACAGCTGCACGGGGACCCCGGGTTACACAGGCCTGGTGATCACACCACTGTCCCTGTCTCCCAGACCAAACTGTCCTCAGTGAACCCTGTATGCATCTGGATGTGGGGTGGGATGGGGGATCAGATGGGGGTGGGGGGACTTTTATCAGAGAAAGAAAGCACATCTAGTTGGAATTCAGCATTTCCAACCACGGAACCCTTTAGTAGCCAGGCTCCTATTTTGTTTTTCCAGACCTCGGGGCGTGTGGTCTGAGTGTGGCCACAAAATGCTACGAGCAAGAAATAATAACAAACTATGAGACTCGTGCTAATAGTATAATAGCCGCAGCAGCTGACTAATCAGCGTCTTAAGTTGTTTACTCACATCCACGAATTCACTCACGTAGCCATTATCATCAGGCTTATTTTATGGACAAGCAGCCAAAGATCAGAGCAGTTAACTAACGGCCTCTCCAAAAGATCCACGCGGGGATTTCAATGAAAATCAACGAGCAGCCAAAGCACCGGCAAGTGGAACTTGTGGGTGTCCAGGCTGGCTCTGCCCAACACTGTCCCTCCCTGCCAGACTTCAGGCGCCTTCCTAGCCCACACCAGGACTGTCTGGTTATTCGGATTTTGCATAAACACAAATAAGAAATGACAGGGAAGATCAGTGAATGTCGTCACAAGAGGTAATTACAGGGAAGTTCGGGGGATTAATTCAGATGGGCAACACAAATGAGTCCAAGGGAGTGGTGCTCTGGCGGGGGTGACTGTCCCCCAGGGAACATGTGGCAACGCCTGGAGACATTTCTGGTTGTCACAACTGCGTGGAGGAAGCATGTCACTGGCATCGAGTGGGCGGAGCGGAGGCCGCTGCTGAGTGTCCTCCCACTCAGGCCAGCCCACAGCGTGGAGTTAAGGCAGCCCGCACGTCGCCAGTGCCTCGGTCAGGAAGCCCTGGCCCAGAGGTGGGGAGCTGTGCTTTTGCAGAAGTGAAATCTAGGCACAGTATGGATTGGTGTCAAGGACGAGCAAGGAGGGAGGAGTGTTGGGCAGGAGACGTCAGGCTTGCAAAGGCTGGCGAGGGGAGTGACCCAGAGACACGTGGGGGAGATGGGACACAGCCAAGGTGCTGTGAGGACAGTCCCAGCCCTGGGGAATGAGATGTGGGGGTGCTGGGGAGAGGGGAGAATGGAGTTTCTAAAAGCTGGACTTGGGGAAAAACATTACTAACCTCTCCTTGGCCGGTTGGCGCTTTTACCTGGGTCTCCATCTCCATCTGTCTCGGGTGCCCTCATATCGACTTCCCGCCTGTGCATGCTCTTCGAATCTGCGTATGGCTCTGGGGCTCTCGTGTCCCCCTCCCGACACCTCTCCCATCTCTGCCTCCCTTTCTGCCCCACAGGGTGATTCTGGGGGACCTGTGGTCTGTGACGGCGTCCTGCAGGGGCTCGTGTCCTGGGGAGATTACCCCTGTGCCCAGCCCAACAGGCCTGGTGTCTACACCAAGCTCTGCCAGTTCACCAAATGGATTGAGGACACCATCAAGTGCAACTCCTGAGCCACCCAGGATGGGGGCCTCACCCACCTGCTGCAGGAACCCCACGCTTCCTCCAAAACCCTTTTCCTTCCTCGAAGTGCTGATGCTGTGACCCTCTCCAGCCCCCACCCCACTGTCCCCTGGGATCAGTGTCCCCTTCACCCAACAGGCAACCGGTCCCGTCTTTCTGGGGACCATTCTCAGCACGACCAAGGCTGAGACTGCTGCTCAGTCTCCCAGCGCTCTCATCCCCAAGCCCGGGGTCCATCCGTCTCTGCAGCCGTGACCCAAATTTAGTCCTCGAAATAAAACATCTGAGGAGAAGTGGCGTCTGCGTGCATCTGGGCAGCTGGGGACAAGTTCTCCCTCAGCTGCTGAGTGTGCCCTATGAGGTTATCTGCCTACCAGACAGAGTCACCCAAGCTACAAATATTGATCTAGTGACTGCTTTTGGCCAAAACTTGTTCCAGGTGCTGGGGGCTGGGGACACAGCTACAGAAAAAAAAAAAATCCTACCTCACAGAGTTTCTAGTAGCAGAAATAAAAGGATGGGTAAATACATACATCCACCTGCAATAGTTACGTGAGCAACGTAATGACGTAATGACGATGAGAGCAGAGCGCGAGGAAGGAGATGGGCGTGTTGGGGTCTGGAGCTCCTTGGACACTCCATGGGGGAGGGGGAGAGAGGCGTGTTTGGTCTCCCAAATATGTCCTCATCCTAATTTCCGGAACCCATGAATGATACCTGATTCCCCAACTTACAAGGATTCTACTTTTTTTTTTTTTCTTTTTCACTTTACAGTGGTTTAAAACCAATGTGCATTTTATAGGACTCATACCTCAAATTTTGGATTTGTGTCCCTCTCCCGGCTGGCAGTCTGATTCTCCTTATGGTGTGACCTTGAATGCTCCTAAGGCTCCCGCGCTGCAGCCTGGGGCCCCTTCTGAAGGTGCTGTTGGGAGGCTGGGACCTTGAGGAGGTGGGGTCTGGTGGAAGGCAGTGGGGTGTGTCCTTGAAGGGGACACTAGAATGTGCCCCTCCTGTCCCTCAGTTTCCTCCTGCATGATGCTGTGCCTCCCCATAGGCCCAGAAGTGTCGGGGCCAACAAAACATGAGCCACAATAAACTTTTCCTCTTTTTTAAGCTGTTTCTCTTGTGTTTTGTCACAGCAACAGAAAGCCAACTAATACGGGTACTGTCTAGTGATGTCGGGAGGCACAGCTAGCCACAGCTCCCCCGGCCATGGAATCTGAGGAGAAACAACAATAGCCCTTTGGTGTGGCAGAGCGATGGTGTCTGATAGGCTAGGTATATTAGGTGCATTTTTTATTTATGACATTTTCAATGTGCAAAGGGTTTATTGGGCCCCAACCCCATGGGAAGTCGAGCAGCATCTGTACAGCTAAAGGACATTGCAGATGTGGGCCTGAGAGGGGCCTGAGATGGGGAGATGGTCCTGGTTTATCCTGGTGGACCCTGTTTAATCACAAGGGTCCTTAGAGAGGGAAGCAGGAAGTGCAGAATGAGTTGAGCGAGACTGGAAGATGCCACGCTGATGGATTTGAAGGTGGAGTGGGGCGGGGCTTGGGAATGGGAGTAGGATCTAGAAGCTGATAGCACCGGATTGGATCCTGCTGGAGCCCCCATGAGAAGCCAGCCCTGCCCAGGCCTTGATTTCTGCCCAGTGGGACCCATTTGGGGCTTCTGAGCACCAGGGCTGTAGAACAGTAAATCTGTGTTGTTTTAAGCCCCTAAATCCGTGGTGACTTGTCACAGCAGCCACAGGAAGCTCCTACGAGGGGCCTCTCTGAGATGGGGCATTTGAGCTGTAACCCGCAGGTTGAAAAGGAACGTCCAGGGCAGTGGCATTTCACACAGAGAGAAGGACAAATGAAAGACCGGACATGGGAGCAGGCCTGCTTTTCCAGGAACTGAAAGCCCCAGGCCCGGCTGCCTGCTTGCTCCTTTTCCCTAAGCGGAGGGAACGTGGGCCATTTTTGAACCTAGAGGTGACGAAATCTGGTTCATGTTCCAAGAAGATCATTCTGACTCTTGGTTTAGAGAAAAAATGATAAAACTTATTGGCCAGGGCAGAAAAGGGAGGTGGGTCATCAAAAGAATATTCATGAATTTAAATTGGAAAAGGGTGGGCGGGGCGGCCACTGCCCAGAGGAGCGAGGGCTCTTCTCCTCCATGATCTTTCTGTCCAGCTCTTGCTCCTCTCCCTTCCCCACTGGGCATCCTGCCCCTCACCATGTCGGCTGTACCAGCCTGGCACAGCAGCTCCCACCTCCCCTATAAATGACTCCAGCTCTTGGCCTGTCTTAGTTCGGAGCCCTAGACAGAAAATGTACGGTGGCTGTCTTTGGTTCAGATACTGACCCAGAAAGGTAGGGCCACAAGACAACAAGGATCCCCTAATCACCCTTCATCAATAGCAGCGGGCAGGAGAGGGATCCCAAAAATGTGAGCATGGTAGTCAAGGAAATGGACATCACCTCAAGAGACAGGTATTTGAGTCTTCAGCACTTTCTGAAAAGCCTTATACCCTTTCTGGAACTCAGTTTCTCCCTCCATAAACCGAGAGGATTGGAATGTAATGATTTCCATGTGCCAATGGAGTTCCACAGAGATACTCAGTCGTTCCAGGGATACCTTGGAAATCAAACACTTTAGAAAGTACATCATGGAATCCTATCAGCAACAAAGCACCCAACTAAAATGGATTAACTAATAAGGACATTTATTATAACCCCCCTACCTTCCTTAAGCTTATATTTTAGCAGAGAGAAATCATGTCAGCTTTCTCCTTCAAGGTTTGCAATCTCACAGTTGAAAAAATGGCTGCCACAGCTCCAGGCATCACAACCTCAATAACAAAAGGCAGGAAGAAGAGGTCCTCCTGGAAGAGTTCTTTCCGTTAAGAAAGAAAATCTCTCCCCAGATCATCCCCCTCCCCAACTTATCCGTGGGTCTCAATGGGTACTCACTGGGGAGGGTCTCAATGCCCCAGTTCTAGGTTGAAGAGAAGCTGGTAAAATTAGTTTCTGGCATTTTTCTGTTATGGGATGTAATCTTTGAAAAAAAAAAAAAGGAAAATGAAGAAAAGTGGCTTTTAGGGAGCCTGTAGTCCCAGATGCTTGGGAGGAGGCAGGAGGATTGAGCTTGAGAATTTGAGGCCAGCCTGGGAAAAAATGGTCTCTATTAAAAAAAAAAAAAAAGGAGGAGGAAGAGAGGGAGGAGGAGAAAGGAAGGGAAGAAGGGAAGGAAGGAGGAAGGAAAAGAAAGAAAAGGAAAAGGAAATGTTTTTTAAAAAAAAAACAAACTAATGGTTGCTGTCATCATTCACATCCACCCGCTTGTGCCCAGCCATTTACAAGTTCTCACATCAACAAAGTTGTGCTGCCAGTGTCGGGGACACTGACCTGGCCGGTGAGCCATCTTTCTGTCTAGGTGTCACCAACCTAGCAATTACCATCCAGTGTCTGCGGCAGACTTGAACTCGGCCCAGTCCAGCTGCTCTCCAAGCAAGAGTAAGACCAGTGGTGCGCGGCAAAAAAAAAAAAAAAAAAAAATAGGGGCGAACAGCACCGCCTGGATTCCCGGTGACAGGGTGACTCAAATTTGGAACAGCAAAACTACAAAATGAAGACAAGAGCAGACTCTAGCTAAGGGGCCATCTCTAGTGACAAGCAAAAGAGTCACACTGTCTTACATAGTAACGTTGACCTCGCAACCCACGAAGTCCAGGCAAGGGCAGCTCCAGGCAGGACCGGTCAGGGCTCCAGTCCCACCTGTCCGCTCCTCTTGAGGGTCATCAACCTCAACATCAGTGACTGTGCATTGGGGTCTCTCTCTGAGACGTGGCTCTCTTCCAGAAACCACCCCTGCAGACTCTCTTCCTTCTCATTGGCTGGAGTTGGGTCACGTGTCCTTTGCTAACCCAATCATAACTTAGGGAAGTGAAAGGAACCTGTCTTTGATTTGGACCAATCAGGACTTGCCTTCCCAGATTGACACCAGAAACTCCCCTAAAATATGGAAAGCTGTTCGTGAATAAAATCAGGACGATTTCATCAAAGGAGAAAAGGAAGGATGTTGGGTAAACCAGCAGTGGGGTCTGCGCCATTTGCCCTTTCAGCAACATTTTAAATTGGCTTTTTATTGAAGGATACAGACATGTGCACACAAATATCATAAACTCCAATGAGTTTTGACAAAATGGAATACACCCTGGTAAACAGAACCTAAGTGGAGCAACCCAGGACCAGCTCCCCAGAGGACCTGGGAGAGTCCCGTGCGGTCCCTGCCCTATCCCAAGTGAAGTGCTTTCATGACTTCCGTCATCATAAATTAGTTTTGCCCACCTATGAATAATGTATGAATAATTATAAATTCATTCACATGGATTTATAAAAATACAATAAACAAATAAGATTTATATAAGAGCATGCATGAGTCATGTCTGACTTCTTTTGCTCAACTTTCTATTTATGTAGCTCATCTGGATTTTTGTTGATGGTTGTAAATGTTGAATCTCTTTGCTGCCCAGTATACCATGATGTAAAGGTACTCAGATTTATCCGAGTTTCCTATGACTTGGGTAGTTTCTGGTTTCTTTAACAGTTCTAAAGGCGATGAGCTGAGGAAGAATTTGCCATACCACGTGGAGAAGAACTCAGGAGAAGGGGTGCACTGATTCTCCACCTTCTGAAGAAAAGGCAGGAGTCACCCCACGCTGCTTCTTGCAGATGGCAGTCCCTGGGTGCGTTCGGCCTGAAGTTTGGGCTCAGGAGTGAGCAGAAGATCAAAGAAAGATGTGTGGACCAGGAGCGAGAGGTGGGTATTTGGTGACTGTGTCTGACGCTGCGCGAAGCAAGCTGGGCGCACCCGAGACCTACTTAACCGGGTTCTCCCCACTGTGCCACCAGCACGCCAGCTGTCGCTCAGGTTGGCACGTGACCTGGATACATCTGGGGCCCGCGACACACCGTGCTATCCAGGTCTAAGCAATAAG